GAGGGAAACAGTCTGTGGATGGGGGGGTACAGTCCTTATAGTTGTGTCAGGAGGCGTTAGGAGCGTGACAGCTGTGGGGAGAAGCTGTTCCGATGCCTGGTGGTTCTGGTCCGTAGGCTTCTGTAACGCCTCCCAGAGGGCAGGAGAGAGAAGAGTGTGTGTGCAGGGTGAGGGTGAGTGAATCTTGGTGATTTTCCAGGCCCTTTTCAGACACCGCTTTCTGTAGTTGTCATTGATGGCAGGGAACGGTGCCCTGGCGATGTGCTGGGCAGTTTTCACCACCCTCTGCAGCGCCTTCCGGTCGGAGACAGAACAGTTCCCATACCAAACTGTGATGCAGTTGGTGAGGATGCTCTCAGTGGTGCAGCAGTAAAAGTTGGTGAGGATCTCTAAGGACAGGTGGTTCTTCCTCAAGGTCCTCATGAAGAAGAAGCACTGGTGCGCCTTCTTGATGAGTTTGGAGCAGTTGGTTGTCCAGGTCAGGTCCTCAGAGATGTGGACTCCCAGGAACTTAAAGCTGTTCACAAGCTCCACCACGATTCCCTTGATGTGGATGGGTGGGTGCTGGTCAGCGTTCCTCCTGAAGTCCACGATGAGCTCCTTGGTCTTCTCTGTGTTTCAGCTGCAGGTAGTTCTTGTCGCACCACTCAGCCAGATGGTCCACCTCCTCCCTGTAGGCGGCCTCATCGTTGTCTCTGATGATGCCGATCACCGTGATGTCATCTGCAACTTGATGATGGCATTAGGGCCATGACAGGTCTGCAATCGTGGGTGAAGAGAGAGTAGAGGAAGGGACTCATCACACAGCCTTGTGGCACTCCGTGTTTATGATGATGGTGGATGAGAAGTGATTGTCCGGACGTGTTGGGGTCGACTGGTCAGGAAGTCGAGCAACCAGTTGCACATGAGTGAACTGATGCCGAGGTCTGTGAGATTGGCAATGAGTGTGATGGAATGACAGTGTTAAATGCTGAACTAAAAGTCTAAGAACAGCATTCTGGCATAAGTGTTCTTGTTGTCCAGGTGAGAAAGGACAGAGTGCAGCGCTATGGAGACTGCATCCTCTGTGCTCCTATTCTGCCTGAATGCAAATTGGTGGGGTTCCAGTGTGGGGGGAGACAGGATCTGAGGTGTGATAGGACCAGCCGCTCCAAGCACATGGTGATGATGGAGTGAGGTCCTCAGAGACCTCATTCAATGACTACCGGATGGTAGTCATTGAATTTGGTCGGGTTGAATTTCTTGGGAATTGTGACGATGGAGCTAGACTTGAAGCAGGTCGGTACCACAGCAAGGGCCAGGGACAGTTGAAATGTCCGTCAGCGCTCCTGCCAGCTCCCCAGAGCACGCTCTGAGGACACGTCCAGGTATGCCATCAGGACCCGCAGCCTTGTTGGATTTAATCCTGCTCAGAGCCAAGAGTTTAATATTAAAATCCTTAAAATAAAAAAACAGACACAATATAAAGACATTTGAAAGAGGAAGATCAACTAGAGGAACAGAAGAATCATCTAGTACACATATTCAAAAGTTGATATTGAACTTCAATCTCAAACTGTCCAGACTGTCAGGTGATCTCATGCTGGTGGAGCCAGTGTCCCAGAGCTTGGGACCAGTCTGCAGAAAAGGTCATGAATCATTGGATCAGATGTTATAGAATAGAGTGTGAAGTAGATTTTTCTTTAAAGAGAAAATGTTTTATTTGCATCACACAGTGTATCATAGTCAACATGTTTGTCCGTGCAACTGCAGAGGGTGTACAAACTAATTGAACAAGATGTGTCTGTTGAAGTTCCCAGATGGATTGTCTGGGAACTTGCTGTTTTTCCTGTGGCCTTCCCTGCATGGATATAGTGTTTAGTTTTCGGATCTCGTAGACATGATGGTGAATGAGCATACTGAAGTTGAACTGTTCCATCTGTTTTACTGTTTCTTTTGTTTGGTCTTAGAAGATTGAGTCTCCACCTCTGTAAGCAGAGAGAGGTGATTAAAGCACCTACTCTACTCTAACAAACTCTACTCTGAGTTTGTTAGAGTAGAATGATTTTCACCTAATGCAGTGTATTTTTGCTCTTCGTCTACAGATGTATCAAAGATTGTTTTTGCTCCCTGACTTTTGATTAGAAGTGCTTTATTCAGTTCACAAGAGGCACTTCTGAAACATGAAGAGCAGAGAGGGCTGAGGACTGAAATTGAGAAGCAATGCATTGGAGACATCAATGTCTCCAATAATGATGCAATACATATCAAAGGAAAATAACCCGAAATTCTGCATATTGTTTCCATGACAACAGAACCCAACAAAACTTATCATCACATGGCCACAATAACAGATATAAACAGAAGTTACAGCAGTTAGAAACAGCTCACCTTTCTGATGGTAGAGATCCAGGAGATTTAAAGTCAGTGGGTTCATCCTTTGACCTGTCGCTCTTACAGGACACACAGCTTGATTCTTGTTCTGGTTCTGGTTCTGGTTCTGGTTCTGGTTTGAGTCTCTGATGGATCCTGACAGAAACATGATGATTAAAACTTAATCAGCAAAGAGGAGCAGCAGCAGTTTCATCACCACGTCTGTTCTGGCCTGATATAGTGAACGCTGTGTGAAAAGGGCTGTGGACAGTTAGAGATGGTGACCTCACCTCTGACCTTTGCTCTGGCTCTCATCTTCCCCACACAGAGTGGTTTTAGAGGGAGGGACTCCCTCCTCTCTGTCCTCACACTGATCCATGCTGCTGAATCCACATCAGCTCACACACACTTTCTAGCTTCACCTGCAGAGGAAACACACATCATTCATCTGCACATCAACTCTGATCATCCTTTACATCATTAGTGCTGGAAAAAGATCAGCTGCTCCTCCTCTGATTGGCTCTTCTTCTCTGCTTCATATCAGTGTCAGGTGAATGCAGTCAGACAGCAGAGAGGCAGAGGAAGCTGCCATCAGCTGCTGCACTTCTACTATCAGTCCACCAGATGGAGACATGGAGCAACATTTACATTCACTGATTCAACCTGAACAAGTCTTATAGTTCACAATTAGTAATTTATACAAGTGGATTATTTGCTCCATTAAAGATGAACTATTTAATCATCTGACTGAATCAAACCCATTTAATAATATTTTATTTTGAAAGGAAGCAACAGGAAACTGTTGCTGACATTAATGGTGGAGACTAGAGTTCAGTACCAGGAAATAAAAACATGAATCAGTTCGGAGAAGAAAACAGTGAAACATCAGCTGTTCATCATGTTCATTGATTCCAGTTCATCAATAATCTAATAATCCCATAGATTAGCCTTCAAACAGCAGATATTAAAGTTTCAGCTGCAATCAGAAGTGAAACTTTTCTCCAAACATCTCAGATTAGAAACAAACAGGAAAAAGTTAAAGTGATGAAAAGTTCAAGAAATAAACAAATCAAACTTACAGTTTGTTCAAACGATCCAAAGAGTTAAAGAAGAAAATTTAAACAACAAACTGGAGCCACACCTGAACAGGTAAATTCAAACCGAAAGTAAATGTGACGGATGGTGCATAACTGATGACGTCACAGCTCACCTGACTTGTAGTTTTTGCCTTCAGAGCTACAGAACCAGGAAGTAGAAGCTCTGAGGTGAAATCAGAGGCAGGTTGATAAATCTTCATGAGGAAGGAGAGAAGTTCTGATAAAATGAGGGTGTACTTACTTAACATAACATAATAACAGAAAAATCTGTTATTAAACAATTCTTCAAACTGTATGTCTTTTTTCCCAGTTAACAATGTTTTTCTTAGACAAAGAAGGAACTATCTAGGATTTCTATTGTTAAGAATTAAAAAGAGGAATAACTTGATTTAGCTCTTTAATTAATTCTTTGTCCCGAATTCTTGTGTCTGTGTACGTGTGGAGGGAGAAAAACCAATCATACGACAGCTGACTTCAGATATTTCCAGAGCTTTATCCAAAGAATTTAATTCAATACAGAATGTTACAACAGCATTACATAGAATTACCTGCATGAGTTGAAAGGAAACAGAAATAAACAAAATGCATTTTGGAAATTTCTCACTCAGCACAAAGAGATTCGAACTTCTGCTGTGAAACAAACCATTTTATACGAATGTGTATTCTCCTCATTTAAATATATGCATTAGGAGGTGTGTTTCTTCCTTTGTGTGGGCTGTCTTAAATGTTAATTTTATTACCTCCTGCTAAAGAGCCCCAAAGGCAGATATATGGATTGTCAAACTGGGTCTTTGCAGTACCAGGCGTCTCCTGCAATCTCCCTGAGCTAAATTTACGACGTCTGTCTGTTTTAGTTTTCTGCCTCAAATGATTCCACAAGAAAGTAGTTTGTATTTTTAACCAAGCTTGCACAAAATGTAATGCTAAATAATGGCTATAAGTTGGATCTAAAACTAGATCCAACTTAAAAACATGCTTTTTAATGCTTAAAGAAATATACCAATATGTTTGATTATATGCTGTAACGGATTTCTATAGTTTTTAGTGTTTGCCTGAACTATTCAACCCTGAGTAAAGAATTTATTGCCCTGACAGCCAATACACTCCCTGTCAAGGAACAAGAACATAGTAACACAGAAATAGTTTGAACACATGAAGCCCCAAGGACTCCCATAAACCCGCCTGGTTCTATTAAGACCACATATAATCTGTGGTGGCCTCCTGACCAGCCCCCGATGTAACCAAGGCAGAGCGCGTGTGCCCGTAGTCGCTCTGGGGAAAAAGCACTAAGTGCTTCCAGATCACAAAGAACAGCAATAATTCCCTGCTGAGATCTCCACCCAATTGGGATAACGATAGTAACCAGGTGATATTGGCGACCCGTGAGATCAGAACCATTTGAAATACAGAGTCACTATTTAACTGTGTAACATTGGCTGTTTCCATAACGTCTTCTTCTCCCCTAATAATTGTTGCTAAAACATCCCTTATATCCTCCAGAGTTCCTCTGTTTATCAACATTTTGTTCTCCTCAGTCTTCAATGTAAACTTTTAGATGTGCATCAGGTTGTCCCCCTTTTCCATGTCTCCTGTTGTTGACTCTCGGAATCCAGGCCTCTCTGGAGGCTCCGCTTCCATCCTCTCTCTCTCACTCATCTGCACCGAGACGTCCAACCTCTCCAACGTCGGTACCGCGTCCACAAGAGGAGGGAAGCTTTTCGTTCTCAAGTCCATTCTGAGTTGCGCCGGAAAACCACATTTTGCCTGTTTTCCTTTAAGTTGCTTGATGAAGCTCTGCAGTCTCACTCTCTTCTTTTGAAGCTCTGGAGAGAAGTCCTAGTCAAAGTATATTATTTTCCCTTGGAGAACGATGTGTTTTAGTGACCCGGCCCGTTGCAGCTGCACTTCTTTTCTGGTGTAATCCATGAAGCGGCCAATGATGGAGCGAGGCGGGTTGGTGTCAGCGGGCCTCGGTCCCGGCGCTCGGTCTGCTCTTTCAATGCGGAAATCCTCCTGCAGAAGAAGCGAGGTTCTGATTCATTCCTTTACGAAGCCGATCATGTCCTGTTTCTCTTGAACTTTTCACCCCAGGCAGACCAACTATGCAGAATTCAAAAAAAAGAAAGTGTCTGATGAAAACAGGACGTTCAATGCTACGTGGGAAGATTCATTAGCTTTCACTGCTGATGAGACTGGTTCACCAGTGTGCTTAATATGTAATGAGAAACTAGCTAACAACAAAAAGTCAAATGTTGCAAGACATTTCCAGAATAAACACGCAGCCTTTGCTCAAAAATATCCGGATGGAGAGGAAAGAAAAAAAGCAGTTTGGGAACTGATACGGAAGGCTGATCTGATCAAAAATCACTTCAAGAAGTGGATGAAGGCAGCAAATTCAAGTGCACATGCAAGTTTTGTTGCCGCTCAGGAAATAGTGAGGCACGGGAAACCGTTCACAGATGGAGAATATATAAAAGAATCTTTCATTAAGACTTCAGAACATCTATTCACAGACTTTAATAACAAGAGTGAAATTGTGCAGAAAATCAGGGATATGCCCCTCTCTGCAAAGACTGTCAAAGACAGAACCATAAAAATGACAGAAGGCATCACCACACAGCAAATTAAAGACATCAATTCAGCTGTGGCCTACTCAATGGCCTGTGATGAATCTAAGACAAAGGTGATATTGAACAAATAGCGCTGTTCTGCCGGTATGTAAACTCTACTGGGCCACAAGAAGAAATGATGGAGTTGATGCCACTAAAAGGCCAAACATGGGGGGAGGATGTCTGTGAGGCTGTCTTGAATTGTTTAAGAGCAAAGGAATAAAACCACCCACCTGGTGTCAGTGGCTACAGACGGGGCACCGAGTATGACAGGAGTGCACAAGGGCTTTGTGGCTTTATTGCAGAAGTCGCTGGACAGAAAGTTGCTGACTTTTCACTGCATCCTGCACCAAGAGGCACTGTGTGCTCAAACATTTCCTCCGGAACGCACAGAAGTGACGAATGTTGTCATTCAGATTGTGAACAAAATAATGGCAAAAGGTTTGAATCACCGTCAGTTTCGTTCATTACTGGACGAGCTGGAAAGCACGAACTCTGACCTCTTGCTGCACAACAAAGTCCGGTGGCTGTCCAGAGGCGAGGCGCTGAAACGATTTACGGCGTGTCTGGAAGAAGTGAAAACCTTCCTGGGCAGCAATGGGCTCACATTTCCTGAGCTGGAACAGCCAGAGTGGCTGTAAAAGCTGCACTTCTTGGTAGACATGACGGCGCAGCTGAACACGCTGAACACAGCTCTTCAGGGGAAAGGACCCACAGCCCTGCACATGTTGGAGGAGGTTTTGGCATCCAGCGCAAGTTGACAGTGCTTGCCAGAGATTTACAGAAAGGTTCACTGTCACACTTCCCCAGTTTGAGAGAGTTCAGGGAAGCTCACATGATGAATTTGGATTATTTACATTCTGCAGTCATCGCAATGCAAACATCGTTTGGGAAACGATTCAGTGAGTTCAGAGAGGAAAAAAACACATTATCCTTCCCTGTCTCCCCTAAGCCTCGATCCATCCCTGTTGAATATGACAGCATCTCCAGGGGAGAGTCCACCGGATCTTGAGATGGAACTGGCTGACATGGCCCACAAAGAAATGTGGGTGTCCTAGTTCAAGCACTGGACAGCGGACCTTGAAGATGTTTCACGTCAGAAGGCTGTTTTTGCTCAGAATCACAAATGGCGTGATATTGAAAACCTCCCCAAACCAGACAAACTTGTGTTTGAAACTTGGAACGCTCTCCCCGACATTTATGTCAACATGAAAACAAATTCTACCTGTTATTTAGTTTGCCATAGAACTTAAATGAACCTGGACACAAACCAGATCACTCTGATACGTTGTCATTAACATGACCAACAGACTTTTATTCCTTTAAAGTAAATTAAATAACATTCAACTGCTCTGCTTAAATTAAACATATTTTATTCTGCTTTACATTTCCAACTGCTTCAGTGCGTCCTCAACATCTCAGAAAAACAAAAGAAATTGAAATGTAAAAATAGTTGGGCCTGTCGTATCAAGCAGTGAGATGGTGGGAGGCAAAAAGTAAAAAGATCCACAGGACACTTGGAGTCCGGTCCATCTTTGGATCGACATATGTGTGTGAAACCGCAGGTTTTCTCCAACATGAACTTCATTAAAAACAAACAGCCTCACAGATGACAGCTTACAATCCTGTGAGAAGATGAAGGTGACGGCATACAGCCCCGATGTGCAGACGGTTCAGGAGCAGAAATTACATTGACCAAGAATGATCAGTATTTTAATCGACTATTATTTTACCTATATTCATATTTTGTCATTGTTTGGTGAAATAGACATTTTATCAGTGGCGTCAATCCAACCAAAGCTGAGGTATGGCCAGGTTACTCATCACATGACAGAATCAATCAATATACATGCAGAAATGACGTAATAGAAACGCTACTTCCAGCGAGTCCAATGCAACACTGATGACTGTTTTATAAAATAACAGTATTTTATAAAACAAGGTGTGGGTTTGCCATACCTTGCCATACCCAATTGACGGCCTGCATGTTATTCTGCAGGTTGAGGCTGACTGTACGGCGCCAGTAAAAGGATGACGCCATTTTTGTTGCTGCCATTGGATCATTTAAGTTCTGTATTGTTTTAATTTCATTACTACAAGGACTCAAATAGACATTGAGTATTTTACTTAACCTTCAACGCAACGTCTTTTTTTCGGAGTTAAAATGTTTTAACATGTTAAAACATTTCTGACAGAAAGAGCCAGAAATGGCTCTTTCATTTCTGGCTCATTTTGTTGACCAAAAAGAGTCAACAAAGTGACTCTTTTTGGTCACTTTGTTGCTCACCAACGGTGTTTCTTGTCGGCATCATTTTATTATTGGCGGTTTCTCTTAAGGGGGAATCCAGAAAATGAGAGAATTTGCCAACCAATCATCAATCTCATGGGAGCGTGGCGCCACCGGAAGTCCCACCACATGATTTAGAAAATAAAAGTCGGCCAGTAAACTGGTCAAAATCCTTTAAAAAATAAAAATAGTTTTTCATCCAGTAACAGTACATTACAATAAAACACTAATTAAACACACCAATTTAATTCACATAAAGATTAATGCAGTAATCAACTTTGTAACAAATATTTCAAACAGATTCTCATAAAATCAGAATGTTCAATAGATTGAGTTTATTTTCTGAACTATATAAAGTTTTACTTTAAAAACCTGATAAAACCAGAAATGTTCAATCTCCCAAATGTAAATACAACAATGACAATAGAATAATTCAGTTTAAAAATAATTATTTGAAGCAGATCCAAGTATGATCAATAATGTAATCATTCACAAGTTCCCCAAATGTTGCTTCTTTCAAAAGGGAAAAGATTACAATGAACATCTAAACCATCATATTACTCCTGGGTAGAGACGCTACCATCAGGGTTTTTCCTGCCGGTTCTGATCACCATGAGGTCCGATCACTGCAGATCACTAATATTGATCACATGAATTGGCTGTTAATGTTTCGCTTTAGGTAGAAATGTTACTATGTGATCTGGCAAAATGGAGACATAAAATAACCTAATTTAGACAAAACATGTACAACACTTGCAGCTCATGGCTGATTGTTCTGGTTCTGATGGGTTGGTTCTGACCCAGTAGAGTAATTCAGCAGAACACAGAGAGGAGGCAGAGGAAGTCCATTTGTTCTCTCAGATTATCTCATGTTAGGACACAGAGAAAGTTACATTAAAACTGTTTTAAAGTTTCCTCCCCAATATGGCATAAAAGTGGTCCAACAAAGATTTATTGGGTTAGGATTAGGATTAGCAGGGTTAGGGTTAGGGTTAGGTTTAATCATGTTAAAAATTGGATCATTCTGAAGATTTTTCATTTCACCATTTACACCTTTTTTATACAGTTTAAACATGAAAATATATAAAAAACAAATAATTAAATGACTTGTTAGAATACATTTACAAAAAAATTTTCATGTATTTTTAAACTTTCTAACTTCTTTCCTGCAGTTACAGGGTAAGTCTTTTTCATGACACTTTAAGGAATGAGAATCTCAATGTTTTTATCCAACCTTGTTATTAATCAGTGAAATAAGTTGGAGGAGAGACGTTTAGTTCCTGTTGCAGCTCAGAGTTAATCTTTTTAATCTGAGAGATTAGCTTCAGTCTAACACTGCAGTGAGGATTAAAAGTGGCCAGACAAGGTGAGGGACGGAGGAGAGGTCACCATTAGGAAGTTTGAACCTCTGCAACAAACTGCATTTTAATCACAACCAGCTGCTGATTTTACTGTGTTTTGGGACTTCCAATTAAATCCTTTATTTTCCGCTTTGGGTTGAATCAGGTGTGGCCCACGTTGGAGCTGTGGCGGGTCTTATCCATGTTGATTTATCCTTAGCTAAAAACAGGTTTACTTTTTGTTATCAGATGTAAAATATAGCAGAGATGCAGCAATCAGACCTTTTCTGTCCAACACTGATCTCCAGTTTTCATTCTTCTCTGATCTTCCAGTTCCTGGGATTTTTTCTCCAAAGAGAAAAATGTTCTGCAGGTTCTGAGTTTCAGCTATAAGTTCTGAATGAAACAGAAAATATTAAGATTTTCCCACTTTATGCTTCTAAGCATTGACCTCTGACCTTCATGGGATGGGAATGTTTTACTTTAATTAGGACTTTCTGAAAGGCAGAGTTGATGAAAAAATAATTTTAATACAAATATTTAAATTTGAACAGGAAAAAAACAGAATGAGCAGCAAATGAACCAAATGCAGAAGAAAAATGTTTTTATTTAAAACACATGAAGAAAAACTGCAGCAAATTTACAAAAGGAAGATTTAATATTCAAATCTGACATGTTAAGAAAAATAGGAGCCAATAGAAACAGAAAATGATCAGATTGAGAAAAACTTAGAGCATCTCAGACTCCAGGAATGATCATTCCATCAATATTTCAATGAAATCTGATTAATGAAAGAAAAAATAAGAGAAACAACATCTTGATATTTAGTGTGACTTTGACTGGAAACAAACTTAAAAACATGAGGATCCTGGAATAATCCTGGAATAATCCTGGAATAATCACAGCTTCCATATTTAAAGGACTGGAGGAAGAAAACGTTTCCAAGGACTCAATCAGAATCGTTTCACCAAGAAATAGATTGTAGAGACTGAACTATCTGTTCAACAGTGAGAGAGTTTCTCTGACAGGAGGAAAAACTTTAGACTCTTTAGACTCAAATCAGCTCAGAGACACTGAAGAGGAAAGAGAACTGAACCTCCAGAACCCAAATCCAGGAATCAGAGGTTCAGTGAATGTGGTGAGAAAGGAGTGGAGGAGGCTCAGTGAGTTAGAGGAGATTGTGTAGAAGGCCAGACTGCCAGCAGGACAGTCCACATACACTGCTACTCTGTTAGAGTCAGAGGAGGAGGAGAGATGAGTTTATCTGTCATTGTGCCAGACAGAGTAACCATTTACAGCAGAGCAGCTCAGACTCCAGGAATGATCATTACATCCAACCAAACAGTCTCTGTCTCCTTTCCTCCTGATTCTTCTGTAACTCACTGATATAAAAACATATCCTCTCCACTCGACCTCCCAGTAACAGCGACCAGTCAGACCAGTTCTACACAGCAGCTGATACCAGTAATCAAATCTGTCTGGATGATCAGGATATGACTGAAGCTCCATCACACATGTCACCATCCTGTTGTCTTCAGACAGTTTGAGGTTTCTGTTCACTGTGTTTGTGTCGATGGTGAGTTGACAGGAATCTGATGGAGAGAACAAACACAATCCAGCTGCAGTTATTGATCATTTATTGACACTTTGACTCCTGAATGAGTGATGTGACAGTTTGAAGATGGTTGAATGTGAGCTGCTTTGTTGTGATGAATCAGATGAAAAAACACACTTACATCTCCATGGACCTGGAGTCAAGAATCGGCCTCCAGCAGGCTCCACCCTGAAAGGAGGAGGGGGGTCAGACCATCAGTCTCTTTCAGCAGCAAACATGGACATTACATGTCTCTCAGACACACATTGTCTGAGAGACATGTGTGTCAGGTTGTGTCTGAGACACAACCTGAAGAAACTCACTGAAGCCTAAAAGGACATCAGGAAACTAAGGAAACATTTCTGGAAGCTCCACCTGATTTAATAATCAGCATTAAAATACAATCAATCTAAACTCTGATCAACACCTGGATACCTGATCCATCCACACTCCCACACACAGATGAAGGAATGAAACACTAAACAGCCCTGCTGCTGAAAACCTGCTGTGGCCTCACTGTAATATCCAGAAATACAAACATTAAAAAGGAGAAGCTGCATCACATTCAACAAAGATTCAACAAGAATCAAAGATTTGATCTCTGAGCTCAGACTCAAACCAGGGAGAGGCTTCCAATCATCACACACCTCTGACAAACACCTCCAACCTTTCAGCACTTCCTCTACCAACCAGCACCACAAGGTGGCGCTGCACACATTTACAATGAGCCCAAGAAGAAGAAGCAGCATCCTGAATCCAGCAGCTGCAGTAATGGCTTGTGAAAGTGTCCAAGGAGCATCTGGAACCAGAACCAGCAGATCCAACAGTCCAGAGAGTCTTTGTTTGCATTTTTCCTCTCAGATTTCCAAGCTGCTCTGAGAGGGAAATGACATCATCACTCTACTGATGATGTCACGCTCTGATGTCACTGATCAGGAGGTGCTGGACTTCTACATTTCCAGCATGGAAGTTAGAGAAGTTCTCAGCTCTGATGAGGAGCTGGCCTGCCTTCACACTGATTGAGGGTCAAAGAAATATTTCCAGATGAAGTCAGACTAAAATGTTGGATTGTCCTGCTGTTGCAATCAGAGGCCAAGAAGAAGCTTCAAGTTCTTCTCCTGTTCAGCTCCACGTTCCTGTCAGAGACTTCAGCTCCTCATGAGGAGAACAACTAAAACCTGGAACAGACTGACACCAACATCCTGACATCTCATCCCTGAACAAAGCTTTGCAACATCAAGGTGACTCTTAGCGCCATATATGGACAGATTTCCTCTAAAGGGGGCGGAGCCTGGATTGGAGGAACCAGCAGCAGTTTCCAGGAACAAACCTTGGGAAAACCAGCAGACTGACTAAAGACATTTCTCCCTCTTCCTCCTCTATCAGACCTTCTCTGCTCCTGCAGCAGGTTCCTCCATACCTGAGAGCTTCCAGTCTCCAGTGTGGATCCTTCAGTCCAGCCGACAGCAGCTTCACTCCTGAGTCTCCTGGATGATTGTAGCTCAGGTCCAACTCTTTCAGATGGGAGGGGTTAGAGGTCAGAGCTGAGGCCAGAGAAGCACAGCCTTCCTCTGAGACCAAACAGCCTGATAAGCTGCAAACACACAATTCATCACATGATAAGAAAATGAGAACATTGAGGTAGAGACCAAAGTCTGAACTGGAGATTTTAATATGAGTTAAAACGTCAGTAAATTGTGCTTAACCTGTCAATATGATTAAAGAGTACTAAGGCTTTGATTTTTTTTCTCAGTAATAAAAAAAACTTTTGTCACTTATAGAATAGAGCAGAACAGAAATATCCTTCATTGATCCACAGCAGGTGGAACAATGTTGCTGGTTCATGTTTACCAGCAACAAGTTTAAGGTAAATGGAAGAATCGGATATTGAAAACTAATATGAGACTGTAGAGTAAGGACACATATAGAGCAGAGAATAATAATTCTGTGCATTTAATAAAAACAGCATAATCAGTTTAACAGATGTGCAGCTGAGTAGAGCAATTTATAATCATGTATAAGATGTGTATATTATGTATTCAAAACATTTACCTGAGAGTTTCCAGGTTGCAGTTTGGACTCTTCAGTCCAGCAGAGAGAAGCTTCACTCCTGAATCCTGCAGGTTGTTGTTACTCAGGTCCAGTTCTCTGAGACTGGAGGACTGGGAGCTGAGAACTGAGGACAGAGCTTCACAGCTTCTCTCTGAGAGGTTACAGCCACTCAGTCTGAGGAGACAGAGAGGGAAATTTGTTATTAAATAATGCATAAAACAATATTTTACTTTCCAATCATTTATATTTTTTTATAAAGACTGAAGGAACTATCTATTGTTGCACATATTTATGTTGCCTTTTGTTGTGAATTGATTTGGTCAGTGGTTGGGTCACAATCTTTAAAGGACTGATCTAAAAGGAACAAGGAGAATGGACACAAAACTTTTGAATTCCACAATAAAAACTAAATTAATCCCGTTTCAGTTTTAGCACAAAGATGAGTTTTGCTTCTTTAATAATGTATAATGATGATGGTATTGTTATTGTGATAATGTTACATATTAATATACTTTCAGCCCGATGTATCCCTGTGGGCAACATCTGGGAGAAAATGCATCATTGAATAAACTAAAATAACTTGAATCAATATTTAGCACATCATTAAATGTTTTCACTTGATCAACTATAACTGCATTAACAATGTGTGTCCTTACAGAGCTTTGTTGGAGGCTTTAACCACTGGCAGCAGCCTCAGAAGAACCTCCTCTGAAGCAGAGTATTTCTTCATGTCAAACACATCCAGATCTTTTCCTGGTGACACTAAGATGAAACCCAGAGCTGACCACTGAGCAGGAGACAGTTTATCTGTGGAGAGACTTCCTGAACTCAGAGACTGTTGGATCTCCTCCACTAGAGAACGATCATTCAGTTCATTCAGACAGTGGAACAGATGATGCTTTTCTCTGCAGACACATTCTCACTGATCTTCTTCTTGATGTACTGAACTGTTTCCTGATTGGTCTGTGAGCCACTTTCTGTCTTTGTCAGCAGATCTTGTAGGAGTCTCTGATTGGTCTGCAGTGAAAGTCCCAGGAGGAAACGGAGGAACAAGTCCAGGTGTCCATTTGGACTCATTAAGGCCTGATCAACAGCTCTCTGATGGAGATAATTTATATTTGATTTGTAAAAAAAAAATTGAAAAAAATGATGGTGGATTTTCTTCCATCAGGTTGACCCCAGAGTGATGAAGATCAGATGAACATGAAGAGCAGCCAGAAACTCCTGAACACTCAAATGGACAAAGCAGAAAACCTTGTCCTGGTACAGACCTCTCTCTCCTCTTTAAAGATCTGTGTGAACACTCCTGAGTACACTGATGCTGCTCTGATATCGATGCCACACTCTGTCAGGTCTGATTCATAGAAGATCAGGTTTCCTTTCTGCAGCTGATCAAAAGCCAATTTTCCCAGAGACTTGATCATCTTCCTGCAAGCTGATCAAGCCAAAGAGTCACTCCAGTGTGGATCTGTTTCAGCTCCTCCATCATACTTGACCTTCTTCACTTTGGTCTGAACCACCAGGAAGTGGATGTACATGTCAGTCAGGGTTCTGGGCAGCTCTCCTCCCTCTCTGGTCTCCAACATATCCTCCAGAACTGTAGCAGTGATCCAGCAGAAGACTGGGATGTGGCACATGATGTGGAGGCTTCGTGATGTCTTCATGTGGGAGATGATCCTGCTGGCCTGCTCCTCATCTCTGAATTTCTTCCTGAAGTACTCCTCCTTCTGTGGGTCATTGAACCCTCTGACCTCTGTCACCATGCCAACACACTGAGGAGGATCTGATTGGCTGCTGCAGGTCGTGTGGTTATCCAGAGGAGAGCAGAGGGAAGCAGTTTCCCCCTGATGAGGTTTGTCAGCAGAACATCCACTGAGGTGGACTCTGTAGCATCAGTCAGGATCTCCTTGTTGTGGAAGTCCAGTGGAAGTCGACTCTCATCCAAGCCATCAAAGATGAACAGAACCTGGAAGTGTTCAAAGCTGCAGATTTCTTTGGTTTCAGTAAAGAAGTGATGAACAAGATCCACCAAGCTGAACTTTTTCTCTTTCAGCACATTCAGCTCTCTGAAAGTGAATGGAAATATGAACTGGATGTTCTGATGGGCTTTGTCTTCAGCCCAGTCCAGAGTGAACTTCTGTGTTAGGACTGTTTTCCCAATGCCAGCCACTCCCTTTGTCATCACTGTTTTGATTGGTTGATCTCTTCCAAGTGGGACTTTAAAGATGTCTTCTTGTCTGATTGTTGTTTCTGGTCTGTGTGGTTTCCTGGATGCTGTTTCAATCTGTCTGACCTCATGTTCATCATTGACCTCTCCAGTCCCTCCCTCTGTGATGTAGAGCTCTGTGTAGATCTGGTTCAGAAGGGTTGGACTTCCTGCTTTAGCAATTCCCTCAAATACAGACTGGAACTTCTTCTTCAGACCAGATTTAAGTTTATGTTGACAAACTGCAGGAAAATGTCCTAAATTAACACAATAACAAAAATCATATCTGAACAAAAATCATCTTGTGAATTTGATTACATCACTTCAGCAAATGTGCAATTTATCTATCATTTAAAATGTTTCGAAATCCTCTTACTGCTTTGCAGACGGTCAACCAGCGTTTCCTGCTTCATCCTCCTCAGGAAGTTCAGTGTGATCTTCATCACTGCCTCTCTGCTGCTCCTCCTCTGCTCTTCATCATCACCTTCCAATACTTCATCATCTCTCTGAATCTCTGAATGTTCTGGGTAATCTGGACCCAGAACTTTCTGAATCTTCTTCAGTTCTTTCTTCACAAAAGTGACAATGTTGTCCTCCAGCAGCTGGAACAGAATAATAGATGAAGGAAACATCAGAGTGAAATCATGGAGCCAAACACCAGATGGATGTTGGACAGACTGACAGTCCTCTGGTCTACAAAGTGCAGCATGAAGGCGACTTTGAACAGAACTAATGGAAAATTAATTGTTGACCATAAATATGGAGTCCAGCTGTGTTTGATGCTGCTGGGCCGATGGACCCCTCGGAACCTCTGAGCTCTGCTGGTCCACTCTGTGGAGGAACCAGGAACAATTAGGAAGTCAGGAAATATTCATCCAGCAGTATTCAGAGGAATAATATATAGAAAAACAGAGCATCACATGAACACAATTCAAAGTGAGGAAGAGGAAAATTATCTACACTGATGAATACCAGTAACACCAGAATAATCCAGTAGACATTTCAAAAAGTTGGATTTGAAGTTGGACTTCAAACAGTCCAAACTGTCAGCAGATCTGATGCTGGTGGAGACAGTCTCCCAGAGCTTGGGGACAGTGGAAGTGAAGGCTCTGTCCACACAGGTCTTCAGGACAGTGTGGGACATCACCAGGTTCTGATGACTAGATCTGAGGTAATGCAGACATGGAGGAGATTTTAAATATGTGGGTGTGTCCATGTGGGATCCTCTCCTGGATGTTATAGTGGGGATTTTAAAATGGATCCTGTAGATCTGTGGAAGCCAGTGAGCTCACATTGTATCTGAGCTCACATTCTCACAAGATTCGAGAGAAGTGGAGTTTTGATGATTTTACTGAGACCTTCGGGACAATTGAGGAGGAAGAATCTGCATCTTCACTTCCCAGCATCCTAGATGAACCTTTTCTTCTCTCCAGGGAATGAGGATGCAGAACTCGTTCCCTGAGTTCTGCGTTGTTGGACCCCCAGCATGGGAAAGGTCTGACCTCGAAGAGGGGGTGTCAAGAAAATCCGACACCATCCCACTTCCCCATGCTGGAGATTTTTGTTAACAGTAACAATAAATAAAGTTACCTTTAAAACAAGTCACACAAATCACATCTAGATCCAACAGTAGACCCAGAATGCAATAAAATAAACCTGGTTGGGTGTGTTGTTTTTTTCTCCTGCAAACTTAGCTTTAATTATACTTATTTTTTCTATCTAATCATAAGAAATCATAGTCAGAGAGAGAGATGAGACAGGAAGAGCAGGTTTCCTGGAAAAAGAGGAAGAAAGTTTCCAGCTTGCAGCTGCATAAAAATAGCTGAGAGCAGTCCTTATTTAAAAGCATAGACGTTTTAAAGGATGAAATCTAAACATTTTGAGTAATTAGATAAGATTTAAAGTACTTATATTAATATTGGTTTACTTATAACAATACTTACTTACACTTGTGGAAAAACGTACAAGTAAAACAAGTAACTGTAACTTTGGTATCAAATAAGAAAAGAGTAATAAGTTGTGATTATCATAAAATTATAAATGAATGCTAAATTAAAGAAACTAAAAGGGTTATGAATGTGATTTTAACATTGAACTTGAAATGGTGTAAAACATGTAACTGCTATTAAAGATCACTGATCCTGTGTTGGAGGTATATAGTAGGTGAAAGGTTAGGGGTAAAATGGAGACTAACGGGAAAGCAGAGTTACCAACGCCTCATTAGGACATAGATTGATGAACAACTTAAACGTGTCAGAGACATGGGAGGAACATTGAGTAACCCTGAGACATTAGCCAAGACATCAGGACAAAATGTCTCTAAGACAGTGATGGATATGAGCTCATCTGTCCAAACAGCTACCCAATAAAGCAAGCACAGCAACAATGTTAGCCAATGAAAATGCACCAAAAGCGGGTATAAACCCTATATAAGGGGAGAGCAAAAGAGGAATCTTTGGTTGGATCCTCCAGGCAGCTTCGAGTCAAGACCGAGATGGACAAAGAACTCTGCAGCTGAAGAAGAGCCGGGGCCACAGAGCCGAAGACTGTCCTGCGCACGGGGACCAACCCATCAGCCCCGCAACATGTGGCTTCAAATCGGACTTCTCTCATCGGCTGGGTTCAGACCCCAAGGAAAAAGATGAAGATCAAGGCAAAGATAAATAACCTACATTGTGTGCTATTTTTTCGGTGATAGCTTTACATACTAAAAGGATTCTGAATTAGTGGTTTTGATTGTATATAGCACATGCCTTATATCTGTATATTGTATCTGTGTATTATATTTATGTAAATTGAATGTATAATTTTCATTCAATTTTCATTCAAGATGAAGATCAAGGCAAAGATAAAGACCCAAGTCCTGTGTGACCTCATCATCCATGCAGAAATGACAGCTCATCAGACCAACAGAGATCCCTGCCTTCGTCAATCAACCTCCTCTGCCTGCTGCAACACCTTCTTCATCATCGAGCCAGTTCTGGGGTTTGAAATACCAAACTTCATCCGTTTCTCTCAAAGGTTCCCTTTTAGTTCTTAGTATCAGCGTTAGGGAAAGATAGGCTAGATGATTGATTTTACTTTTTCATTAATTCTGCTACTTACCCTTGCAAAATTGCTTTACTAATAAAATTTAGCATAAAGAAAATCTAAAAGATGTTGTGGACATTCAATTAATGAGTCACCTCAAAGTTCTTTGATGGTAGTAAAATAGCTGTGATGTTTGATTCTGGGGAAGAAAACTAGGCAATGTTTTATAGGTTGCTTTATCCCAAATTTAAAACAACATCCTTGGGACTCGCCCGAGTCACTAAAACTAACCTGATTCAGTAACAAGTGCAAGTTTGCAAAAAAGAGAAGGAGCGACCGTTAACAGATGTGCTCTGTGGAACTAGTTGGTTGTAGGCTGCTCAGTCTGGCTAATTCACAGGGGTAAGAAGGGTGGGACATCTGGATGTAGGTCGTAGAAATCAGACGAATCCTGTCTCGAAACCAGCTTAAACTGAGTTTACTTGGGTTCTGGATAGGGTAAATCCCAGCAGATTTAGGAAACTCAATTTACCCGTTCAATGGAGAGCTGGTAGCACATCTCCCCTCTCAGAAGAGGAAGTAGTGACTGAGAGAGTAGAGAGTGAAGGAAGTGGGGGGGTGTAGCGGCAACGACACCACACAGAGACA